CCAGTTGAACCTAAGTTTGATTTGAACATGGGCCGTTCGTGTGTTCAGCAAACACAAAGGGTACGGGCGTTCAGTGGGCTGGTTTGCCCAACCATGCCCCACAATGCACTGCGCCCTGACAGTGCATTGTGATTGGACAAAGCAATGCACCTAACCACAAGTCAGGTGTAATACTTTGACCAATCACAGTGCGTGGGTGATGTCACAAGGGGGCGGGGTATATAAAAAAACTGTTGTCACAGGTGCCAGCTGTCAGCACAGCAGGAGCCAGCATTAGCTTTTTTCCCTTTTTTGGGTAGCGGTGGTGGCAGGATCGTGATTGACGTTGAATCTACTTTGGGGGACATTTTTTTAAAATGTTTATTTTTAATAAAGGACTTGTCAAAGACTGACTCCTATCATTTTTACACTACACTTTTTTTGTGAATGGGGTAGCAGTACCATATACCGCCTACTCATTCACATAGGCGGGGGGCCAGGATCTTGGGGTCCCCTTGTTAAAGGGGGCTTTCAGATTCCAATAAGCCCCCCAGGCTTACAGACCCCCACAACCACAGGCTACGGTTGTGGGAAAGAGGCCCTTGTCCCCATCAATATGTGGACAAGGGCTTTGGGGGGCTCCCGACCCAAGCACCCCTCCATGTTGAGGGCATGTGGCTGGTATGGTTCAGGAAGGGGGGCGCTCACCACCCCCTTTTCCTGACCTTCCGGGGTGCTCATACTCAGATAAGGGTCTGGTATGGATTTTGGGGGGACCCCCATGCCATTTTTAAAAAATAATAGCCAGGGTCCGGCTCAATAGCCATTTGGTGGCCAGTCTCGAAGGCTTGGTGTAGATTTCCAGGGGGAAGCCATATGGCGTCCTCCCACACATGCACAGTTTTTGGGCACTGCTGACAATTCTTTTGCAGCGTCATCTGTCACGGCCGTGTACCTCGAACATGGCCGATGAACAGATCTGAATGTACCAGCCCCTTGCGTGACTTCACCATGTGACCTGCCGTGACCAAGTCACAGCAGGTATGACAGTTCATATACAATGGATGGCTTCAGTCATTCATGCCATCCATTGTATACTAGTGTGTCTAGCTGTGAATGGTCACAGCGATCATTCACATGTCATGTGATTATTCTGTGGTTCAAATCACAGCTAAGCACAAAAAAAAACCCTGAATGAATCGATGTCATTCAGGGTCTCAGGATTATAGCAGTAATTCTTTGGCTATAAGAAAATCTTTGTAACAAAAAAAAAGCTGATCACTTCCCCAAAGTAGTTCCAATGTTACTATGGTACTACTTTGACATATAAAAAAAAAAAAAAATATTAAAAAAGAAAAAAAATGTAATAAAAAAATTAAAATAATAATAATAAAAAATAATATATATATATTTTTTTTCATACTGTCACCAGTCAGTGTCCCTGATCACCGCCATGCCAGTTATATGATGACGCTGTACTGCACTGGTGACAGTATGTAAAAAAAAATAGTGAAAATAATTTTTTTTTAATTTTTTTTTTCTCTGAAAAATTCTGACAAAAAAAAAATACAACTTCACAAAAAACTCGCCATTCCTCTTATGAAGTACGTTGGACTGTCTACTCTGCAAAAAGGGGTCATTTGGGGGATATCTGTACTGTCCTGTACATTTGGGGGATATCTGTACTGTCCTGACATTTGGGGGATATCTGTACCGTCCTGACATTTGGGGGATATCTGTACTCTGTATATCTGTACCCCATCCTGACATTTGGGGGATATCTGTACCTGTCCTGACATTTGGGGATATCTGTACCGTCCTGACATTTGGGGGATATCTGTCCAGTCCTGACATTTGGGGGATATCTGTACCGTCCTGACATTTGGGGGATATCTGTCCTGTCCTGACATTTGGGGGATATCTGTTTGGGGATATCTGTCCTGACATTTGGGGGATATCTGTACCGTCCTGACATTTGGGGGATATCTGTACCGTCCTGACATTTGGGGGATATCTGTACTGTCCTGACATTTGGGGATATCTGTACGTTCTGACATTTGGGGGATATCTGTACTGTCCTGACATTTGGGGTACTGTTCTGATATATCTGTACTGTCCTGACATTTGGGGGATATCTGTACCGTCCTGACATTTGGGGGATTTGGGGGGATATCTGTACTGTCCTGACATTTGGGGGATATCTGTACTGTGGGGGATATCTGTACTTTCTGACATTCTTGGTCCTCAAGAAATTAGATTGGCTGTCAGTACTTCAGGATTGATCAATGTTCAGATATCTATACCATAGTTTGTGAACTCTATAACTTTTCCTACAAACTAAATAATACATCCTAATTTGGGTTATTTTCACCAAAGACATGTAGCAGAATACATCTCGGCCTAAATTTATGAAGAACAATTATTTATTTGCAAACTTTTATAACAGAAACAAAGAAAAATGTGTTTTTTCAAAAATTTTCGGTTCTTTTTTCGTTAATTTAGCAAAAAAATAAAAACCGCAGCAGTGATTAAATACCACCAGAAGAAAGCTCTAGTTGTGTGAAGAAAATGATAACATTTTAGTTTGGGTACAATGTTGTATGACCGCGCAATTGTCATTCAAAGTGTGAGAGCGCTGAAACCTGAAAATTGGCCTGGGCAGGAAGGGGGTAAAAGTGCCCGGTTAAAAAAAATTGTCATGGAAGGTTCCTCTAAAAATTCCATTACCAGTCTCGATGGGCTTGTTTTTTTTTTTAATTGCTGGGCAATGCTGACAATTCTTTTGACATTCAGCTGTCGGCAGGAAACCCCACTGACACCAGGAACATGAATGAATGTCTCACTACTAAAATACCGCGTGACTTCATCACATAACTCATGCCGGATATTAGTAACTGAGCGGTATCTTCATACTCAGATGCGGTAAGACATCTCTCAGTCCTTTGTGTTCGACATTCACTGTAGAACATTCTGTAGGTTCGGATGTTTGACCGCGACCTGAACAGGGGGGTGTTCGGCCATCACTATTTGTGGTCTCAGGATTAGTAGAGTTGTCTTGGCTATTGCTGGTCTTTGTCTTGTTACATTTCGGAAGCTGATTGGTCTCACCGGTCTGTTGTTCCTTGATGGGTACTTTGTATAAATCATCCTCTTTGATTCTCTTTCCTGATTGTTGAGCTCCATTTGTATCTTTGGTGTCATTATCTCTTCTTCCCTCAGTTGAGGGTTTTCTTGGTGTAATTGTTACATTTTAGACTGAATTTCTAGGATAGATCTGGGGGGGTATTTTTAGTGTTTTTAGCTCCTCTCTCAGCTTCTCATTTACATTTTTCTCACCTGTCTTTGAAGTTTTTCTTTTAATTGAACAAAGTCTCTCCCTAGCTGAGATTAAGCTTGTAATTTTTGGATCCTTAGATGCACTTTCTGAACGAACCTGCAAATCGAATCCAAGCATTCTGGTTATCAACTCATACTCCCACCAGGCATGGATTGAGCAGGTGAACCCCATAATAATACATGAAAACCTAACTTCTCCTAGGAGACTTATGGCTCTCTGGCAGAACTGGCTGGATACTCCGGTACTCACTCCCCATACTTCATTTGTCATAGGTTTTTATAGGTTTAACTTTTTTAGGCCCCTAAAAATGGACCCGGCCAACTGTACCCTACTAAATGGTGACTACATTGGAGGCCGATACTTGGTGTATGATCCTGTAGACACAGGCCTACTTGAACGGAGTCAGCTATCTATGTATGTACTGGGGAGAGTTACTTGCCATGTACAGGTGAATTGTTCTACGTTGCTTCTTTTTTCTCTTTTCATTTGTTTATAGAAAGTAAAAGTGACACCAGAGACAAAGCAAGTTATTGTTCTGTATGATCTGTAACATTGCCACAACTGCTTGTACATGAGAATGTATGACTCCATTGTCTGGGCTGAATGTTGGATATACTGTGTGCACTTAAAAACTTAAATAATACAATTTAGTTTAATTAAAAAAAAATATTTTATATATATATACAGTATATATACAAATGATGATGTACATATGCTTTCTATATATATAACACAGGTGTCAAACACCTGCATCCAGATCCTGCCCTCTAAGTTATTTCATGTAGCCCTTACACCTCTCCTGCAGGTACCCCCTTGTCTCCTCCCCCACCTTGTCTCAGCAGTCAGGCAGCAGAGAGGAGAAAAGAACTCCTCTGCCAAATCCTGCACCTCTCAGTGCAGCTGCAGCATCCCCTCATCTCCACCTCCCTTGGTCTCAGCATTCAGCAGACTCTAGTAATTGAGTCAACTTCTCCTCTGGTCCTCCTCCAGACCCTGCACTTTCTGCTTTCCAGCTCTGCCCCCAAAGGATGTGCACGGTGATGTTAGGGAGGGTGTGGGGTTCTTGGCATCTGATGTAATGGGGGGGGGGGGGGGTGAGGTGCTCTGGACATCTAGTCTTACAGTTACAACTGGCCCTTTGAGGACAACCATAATGCTGACACAGCCTGCGATGATATATAAGATATATTTATTAATGATCATTAAAAATAAAAAAACCAACTTTAGCCCTTTATATAGAATTCTGATTTTTTTTTTTTTTTTGTACAGGTGGATTGATGAGCCACGTTTTTGGTCATGCTGGTCCTTGTGAATACAACTCAGTCACATGGGAAACCAAACATCTGGGGTCTTAATTGACTGAAAGTTTTAATTGCAGTTCACTGGAGGAGTCACACAGGACACAAGTCATATCCGTGTTCTAAATGTCATAAGTGCTTTGGGTCCTCTTCAACACTGATCCAACCTCAGAGGACAACATGAGAAAAGTCATTTCAGTGTTCTGGAAGTGACAATTGCTTTACAGTAAAGTCCAACCCATGTATACATAAGAGGAGTCATTTCAAGCTATTTCTTGTTTGGAACGTGACAAAGATTTTACAATGGAGGCAAAACATATCACACACCAGAAGGTTCACACTGGAGAGAAGCCATATCAGTGTTCTGAATGTGACAAAGCTTTTACATGGAAGTCAAATCTTATCATACACCAGAGGATTCACACTGGAGAGAAGATAAGTCAGTCAGTGTTCTGAATGTGACAAAGCTTTTACACAAGTCATGTCTTATCAGACACCAGAGGATTCACACTGGAGAGAAGCCATATCAGTGTTCTGAATGTGACAAAGCTTTTACACAGAAGTCATCTCTTATCAGACACCAGAGGATTCACACTGGAGAGAAACCATATCAGTGTTCTGAATGTGACAAAGCTTTTACACAGAAGTCATGTCTTATATCACACCAGAGGATTCACACTGGAGAGAAGTCATATCAGTGTTCTGAATGTGACAAAGCTTTTACACACATAAGTCATATCTTATCATACACCAGAGGATTCACACTGGAGAGAAGCCATATCAGTGTTCTGAATGTGACAAAGCTTTTACACAATAAGTCATATCTTATCATCACCAGAGGATTCACACTGGAGAGAAGCCATATCAGTGTTCTGAATGTGACAAAGCTTTTACACAGGAAGTCAAATCTTATCACACACCAGAGGATTCACACTGGAGAGAAGTCATATCAGTGTTCTGAATGTGACAAAGCTTTTACAAGGAGGTCACATTTATCAGACACAAGAGGGTTCACACTGGAGAGAAGTCATATCAATGTTCTGAATGTGATAAAGCTTTTACACAGAAGTCAAGTCTAACACACACACCAGAGGATTCACACTGGAGAGAAGCCATATCAGTGTTCTGAATGTGACAAAGCTTTTGCACATAAGTCATTTTTATCAGGCACCAGGATGCACACTGGAGAGAAGCCATATCTGTTCTGAATGTGACAAAGCTTTTTTAACCAAGAAAGAGCTTATCATCACCAGAGGGTTCACACTGAGAGAGAAGTCATATCAGTGTTCTGAATGTGACAAAGCTTTTACATGGAAGAGGATATCTTATCATACACCAGATGATTCCACACTGGAGAGAAGCCACATTAGTGTTCAGAAATGTGATAAAAGCATTTACACAGAAGTCAGTTCTCATAGGCTAATCTATCACACTGTAGAGCAGCCATATTAGTGCTTGTGAGCTTTTAAAGAGGAGAGGAAACCTTGTCAGACATGAGAGGGGCATATTAAGAAGCCATATCAATGTTCAGCTGTCCCATTAGATTCACAGGCCCAATGTCTTCCCACAAACTAAGGAAGACATGATGCTTACTTAAAAAAAAAAAATTTTGAACAAACAGGACTCTAATGATCGGATTCATCGGGTTTAGTGCTTATGTCCATCAGAAACACACCTAGAAGGCCTGTGAATATTTTACCTTTGGACATTTTTTCAGACAAGCAGCAATGACTGAACTGTATTCCTCATCATTCTCATCTTTATCCTTTTTTATGGAGCATTGACTGAACATGTAATGCATTTTCATCATTCACTAACTGAGCTATGTTCCCATGTGTTTTCTTCATTGCCAGAATCTGACCAACCAATACATGACCAACAATGCCTCAGTACCAGAGTCTAGGATGGGGTCCAATGGCTTCTTGCCAAGCCTCTGAAACCTCATTAGGAGAGTCCATTCCAGGTTCTTTTGAGAATTGATACACCATAAGCTAGGCTTGAGGGTTCCAGCTAAGCCCACCTTGTCCACACCTCCCATTACATGTACCACCTCCTCCTCTCCCATGATCAATGCCTCCTTTCCATGTTCCATCTCCTCTCATGGATGACATCTTTGCAGGCAGGTCTGTAGCTGAGATACCAGCCAGATAGAGGTCTCTGTTTGGTTAGAGAGTAACTTCTTAAGCTGGTGTAGGCCTTCCAACACGGAGTTAATGCTGTTTTAGGGGACATATTCAACAGTACCACCTAATCCCAGCTGGCCACTTATGTTTCATCTGGTTTTCTCAAAAGGGATTCTATCAGGTGAAGATTGGATGTCATTATTTTTTTTTTTTTTTTCCAGCTATTGCTCATCTCCATAAACTATTCACACGGTACAACTGCAAGAGATCTGAACTTACAAAGTGCTAAGTGTGCGGTCATATTCCTACCACTTCTTCTGGGAGACTGAAAATTCCTCTTATTGGGGTTCACCTTAATGACTCTGAATGAACGGGTCCCTTTTTGGGGCAAAGTGTGCAAAGAGCACTAATTATTCCTGGAAATGCTAAGACATCGGCACTAAAGTGTAACAATGGGCAAAATCAATAATTACATAAATGGTGCAATCTGTCATTAGCATAAACGTTTTATGTTTTTCCAAGTCTCCCCTTGTAACATTTTTATTACCTGTTGACCCTCCCAGTAGATCTGTTTTTTTCTGCTTCCTGTAGAAGGCCAAGCTATTTGGCAAAAATAAAAGTTGGGGGGGGTAGGAAAACACCATATAACACTGCTGGGGGTGCTTACAACTGTCATCTTCCATTCATATGGGGGTTGAACCTTATAGAAATCCTGTTGCTGTAACTGCTGTAGAAGCGTTAGCTGGAGTTGGACTTTACTTGTTGTGTGTCTTACTTATAATCTATCTAAGACTTCCCTGTACAGGGTGACAACGCTGCTGTGTAATGTTCCTGCAGAATGATCAGGGTTGTCACCCTGTTACAGAAGGTGGGGAAATAACAGATCTACAGACAGGACCAACAGCTGATACAACTATGTTGCAGAGGGAACTCTGGGAATGCTAATGACAGATTGCATTACACATTCAGTTAGCAGACTTCCTGCTGTTGGTCTTCTGTTTGAATTGTGTTCTGATATTTACTGTCCTGCTGTAAAAGGTGTAAATGATTGCCCACATGTTTCCTGTAGTAGCAGGGACTACAAACTCATATCAGGAATAGTAGGATGGGTACTTACCCAAGGGGATCACCTTTTTGGATTTGGAAGAAACATTTCACATGGTTTCTGAAATTCCAGTAATGACACCAACAAGGGGAGTCTCACTTACTTCACTAACAATAGGAGAGCCAATCACAGGCCAGTAACATTTCATGGTTTCTCAATAGAAACAATTGAGTACTGTCCGTGATCCTTTTTTTATTTATTTGCACTAACATACAATTTTGAGGACAAGCTTTCGGGGAATGTCTCCTTCTTCAAGGTCTAAGCAGTGCTACTCACAAAGTTAGCAGAATGTTAGAAGAGATGAAAGAAAAAAAAAAAGGAGGCTAGAGATAAGATGCAGTCAAAGCAAGGGGGGAGGGGGGGATACTACACTCACACAGAGGGGGTCAAGCTACAGCTAATAGTCATAAAACTGTTGGATAATGATTGAGGAATCCCATGTCCAAGTTAAGGCCCTTATCTCTTGTGTCAAATAGAATTATCATTCTTAGTTCAAAAGTTTTTCTTTCCTGAATGGATTTGAAATTTCCTTTAAGTACTAAAACATTGAGGTCTCCCATTGTGTGGTCTGGTTGGGTGAAATGGTGTCCTACAGGTGTGCAGAGGTCATCTTCTTTATGTTCCTTGATGGTATGTCTGCAAATTCATCCTTGTTTGTAACTTCTGTCCTGTTTCACCAACATAAGATCCTTTGCTGCATTTTCTGCACTGGATAAGGTACACAACATTACTGGAGGTGCAGCTGTATGATCCGGAGATATTGAAGATCCCTTTTGAGTGTCGGACACTTTTTGATGGATTGATTTGGTTGCACAGTTTGCAGCGTTTCTTATTGCAGGGTTTGCTTCCATTATTTGTGACATCATTATCAGAAGGAAGTTTCCTACTGATTAGTTTATTTCTGAGGTTGGGGGGTTGGGGAAGTTGCAAACAAGGATGAATTTGCACAGACATACCATCAAGGAACATAAAGAAGATGACCTCTGCACACCTGTAGGACACCATTTCACCCAACCAGACCACACAATGGGAGACCTCAATGTTTTAGTACTTAAAGGAAATTTCAAATCCATTCAGGAAAGGAAAACGTTTGAACTAAGAATGATAATTCTATTTGACACCAGAGATAAGGGCCTTAACTTGGACATGGGATTCCTCAATCATTATCCGACAGTTTTATGACTATTAGCTAGCTTGACTCCTTCTGTGTGAGTGTAGTATCCCCCCTCCCCCCTCGCTTTGACTGCATCTTATCTCTAGCCTCCTTTTTTTTCCCTTTCATCTCTTCTAACATTCTGCTAACTTTGTGAGTAGCACTGCTTAGACCTTGAAGAAGGGGACATTCCCCGAAAGCTTGTCCTCAAAATTGTATGTTAGTGCAAATAAAAAAAGTATCAGACAGTACTCAATTGTTTCTGTCGCAAATGCACTAATACGGCTACAATCACCTCAAACAAAATGGTTTCTCAATGTAATTGCAGAATGTTTAATCCCCATTGGTCCAATGGATTCCTAGTCCTTCCAGATAACATTTTGCTTCTTTTGTAGAAGGAGCACCCTAAAATGTCTTCCCTTTCAATTCCACTCATAGTTGTACTTGAGGTTATGTTGCCCCTCCCCCATATATCTGTAAGGGAAAGCCTCAATTTCTCCCAATACTCCCCTGGCCTTCCAGTGAGAAGAAACATTTTCTCTGGATTGGAGCTGCTTTATGCAGTGAGCCCTTCATAGACGGGATGGGGAATCTAAGATAAGTAAGATGGACCGGAGTACTGGAGACATGGATCAGATAACCAATGACACCATTGATGTTATAGCAGAGCTGACAGCAGAAGTGGCTCCACCACCTAAGATGGTGTCACAGAACTGCATGGCAGCTGACTATCTCTTGGAAGACCAAGGTGGAGTCTACAAATGGTGTCAGATAGAGAGTGTTGTACATTTATATTAGATCATGAGGATCTCAGAAGGGGATATCTACACAAGGTAAAGGAGTTCCAACAGGAACCTGGGTGGGGGGAGGTGGGATCCAATGTTTTGGGTGGGTTTAGTTGGAACCTGGTTGAGTAATATGGTGGGTTTGCTTCTTAAGCCATTAGTTGCTATCATAGTTTTGGTTTTGAAATGTTATATATTGCTGTATTTTCTTTCACTGCCAGAGTTTATTTTGCTTTTGTTTTTAGTTAAATTCACATTTCAGGCCATATGATTAGTTAAACCCCAAACATTTCTTTTATTTTCTGAAAGCAGAGACTCTGGAGAATATAATGGTGGTAGTTGCCATTTTTCATGTCACAGAATATTAGCACA